GCAGTGGAATGCTACTGAACGTGTAGCACAGATATTTGACAACTTTCTTGCCAGATCTAGTGCTGAGCCTATGCAGCCAGTTACAAAAAAACTCTGAATATCACTTTTGTGGGTGTTGATAATATGCAAAGGCTATTAAACCAGAGTTTCTGAATGTGCTATGGACAATTTTCTCATGTCCAAACATTCTAAGATCTTTTAAAAAATTAGTACAAAGGTGCATGTCATAGCCTGGTCAATTATAGCACTCAGTGTGAAATTAAAACTGTGGATTTTGCCTTCCTGCCTTGGACTACTGCCCAAGGCATTGCATAGGTTCAGCATGTCATGCCTTAAAAACATTAACATGAAACTTCAGCAAAATGCAGTTGAACCATATCCACAGGATGGCAGTAGAAAATAGCAGTCAGGAAGTCTACTGTAAGATGATGACTGCTGTTATGACTCAAAAGAATAGAAAACTTCTCTTCTGACAGCCACAACAATACAAAGCTGGACTTAAGATAACCTGTGAATAATTTTTATTACTCTGGGGACAGAGTCTCAGGGCTCAAGAAGAAGAGAAAAAGATAAATATAAGGCACTGAAGATAGGTGACTCATTTCTTAATTATGGCCAAACCCTTAAGAAATTATTTCAGAGGTATTAAAAGAAAGCAAAACAAGATAACTTCATTTTATAACACACCTTGAATTCCAAATATTCCTAGCCAAGATTCAAACCCAAATGTCTGGCAGCTGTAGTAAAACTGATGAATTGTTGGCTGTCTGATGCAATCTGACCTTGATTTAGTCTGTGGTAGATGACCTATTTCTACTCCACTTTCTGTTTAGGTTTGGGTTGTTTGTTGTATCCACTCCTTGACAAGAGTCTTGACCTATAAAGCTAGTGCTTCCCAAGTTAGTTCATAAGACGATATTTATAATTTATGTGAAAGTCAAGTGTGCTTTTTAAAGTCATAACAATCTCCTAAATGTTACTTTGTCAGAGAATTTTAACTCTCTTCCATTCATATTTATATTACAGGCAGAGCTAGGAAACTGTGCAATGTTATTGCAAGCCCCTTGGGCACACACATTACAACACAAGCCATAATTACCTCATCACACAGTATTTTTTTTCCGCATCACTCTGCCAATGCACAGAACAAAGAGAGCTTGAGCTTAAAACATAAATGTAGTGAAGAAAACTTGGTTTCCCTCATCTACTGCAGAGGTTGGAAGGCGCGCTGTGAATAAGGCTGGGGACTGAAAGATGAGAAAGCAGTCTCATGGTTAAGGTGTCAGGAGCGCTGTCAGGAAAAAGGATACCATCCCCGCACTGCTGCAGAATTTGATTCGAGAGGGTCACTTAAAGCAAACTAAATGGTCACTAAGTAGGCACTTCACATTGTCTGGGTGCTCAGCTTAACACCTTCAGGTTTGTCTCACTGAAGTGCGGAGCACTTATAGCTGCAGTGGAAGTTACACTTTCAGCCCATTCCCTCTTCTAAAATGCGCAGTGACTGGGACTGTTGGTACCACACGTGTCAAACTGAACACCTTAAGTAATTTTTAACAATATCTTTTTACTCTGTGCCTCAATTTCTACATCACCTCATTTCAAAGCAGTGTTTGGAAAATATGGAAAGTTTATGAAAGCGTAGGAAAGCACACTAGTAACATCCAGAAAGGTTTGCAAGACGTTTAACTCTCCTTTGGAGCAGAGCTTCCAGGGCTATGGAATAGTTTGGTTGGGCCTTCAAGAGGGTCATGACTTTCAGAACCTGCTAACTAGTCCAGAATAGCACAGACCATTAAGAAGATAGGGCAAACGACAAGAGAAAAGATGAGACAAAAGATGAGTTAATACAAGTTCTTTACATTGTGGAGCTGGACTGGAAATCAGCTAGTTTATAGCTAGTGATCATGAGTGTCCTTTAAAATTTGTGTATTGAAAAGTGAAAAAAGAAAAAAAAGAATTACAAAAGATTATTCATTACCACCATGTGTGTCATCTGGAAGACAGAAACCTACCTATGACTAGCACTAGTAACATATCTTTATCCTTTTACACAGCTTCATTGTCTACCAGAGAACCCTTTGAAATCTATACAGCCTATAACATCTCTTATTTTAGCAGTTGTGCAAATCAACTGAGATTTTGTGAAGGACATGCAAGCAAAAGCTAAGGTAAAATGGCATAAAATTTGAAAGTACTCATCAAGAATATAGGACAAGCTACTTAATTAGCTCAAATTCAGGCATTAGTAAATTAAAATGTAAATAGGTAGATGAGTGTGAATGCATACAGAATCCAAATCTGTTAAGATTTTGAAGCAACTTAAACTCTGCCCTGCAGGCAGCCGATGAAGAGGAAACTTAAATGTGTGCTGTGTATCATATACACTGCACATTTCCAAATTACTCACCACACCCCTACCTGGCAAAAAGCCAGTATGATCCCTAAATAACCTGGAGTACGATTTATGAAACACCTTTTGTACTATGCTGCACTGGCAAAGCCCCAACCGTTTGGCAACTGGCTGGTCTCCAGGAGGAGTTGTGCAGGAGGAAAAGGAGGGGCTGCCCAGCCTGGTCTCTTGTGCATGGTGGTGTGAACTGGCCTCCTTCCACACACTTTTCTTCCAACCCAACCTCCAGCTGCACTTTGTTGCTGGTTTGTGGTCATTTCACTGATCCGGAGTAAGACAAAAGTGCATATTGGAATAGTAAAATAGTGACAGAGTGAGCAAAGCTGTTGTGCCTAGATCGCCTTTTGAGGGGAAAGTGCAAGCCAGTTTCAGGACCAGATTCACACTGGATGCAGCTTTGAAGTGAAAGGGGGCATCATATTAAGTATGAAGGACCCCATATGCAAAACCGGATCAGGCAGCTTCGCCCAATGTATATTCTTGGAAAAGCTGTTCAACCCTACAGCTACTTGCAGAAGCTGGAAATTCCTTGCAAACTGTGGCAAGTCATGCCAGGCTATGGAGATCAGAGGAGTCTTAGAAGGAAAGATGGGACCATCAGAGGTGGGTAATGGCGGCTGTTAAACTGTAGCTGGTCTGGATTAAAAGAAAAGAAAAAAAACAGCTAAAAAATTTTGGGAAGCAAGTTATTTGAGTCCCTGCAGATATTAATTTTCCAATAGCTCCATGAAACATAAAGAAGCTTTGCCCCAGTCTAAAAAAATAACACATCCAGGAAGTAACTTCTAGAATTGCTCATTTCCTTATAACCCAACTGGCAAAATCTGGCAGTGATGGTTCCACCACTTTCAGAACTTTTGGAAAAAAATGCCATCTACAGTATATATCAGCAATGTCTTTCCTGGCACAGGTAGATTTGGCCTATCAGGCTTTTTAGATCGATAATACAAAGTGACAACTTTTTGTTTGAGTTGTTGCAAAATACCCCAACAGCTCAGCTGCAAGTAAATTTCTGAGGTGGAGTTCTAGACAGCTATTATTTCACATAAGCTTTTAAAAAAAGCAAAAGGAGGAAGAATTTGCTACAATCCCAAAGCTAGCAGAAACTATTAAAAACAACTATTAGCTATAGTTGCCTTATATACAGATGCGTTAGAACAGATATCTGTTACGTTCTTTTTATCATTCCTAGTAATGATGATTATTTCTGTTTCCATTAACATCAATGGCTTTTCCAATTGTTTTTCTTTACTTCATTTTAAGAAAATATTTGTGGCTGCTACGTTCAGGAATACCAAAAAGACAGCTATTTCTAAAGGACATTTATTGGAATTAGATCATAGAATTTGGATGATGGAATAACTCTTGCCAGAAAAGCAATTTCCTGAGGTATCATAAAACCAGTAGCGCTTAATATTAAAGCTTAGTGCTTTGTATTCACGAGTAGCCTAGTATGGTTATTCAATACAACCACAACAATGGACATCAATTTCTTGTGTGAAGAAGCATATATTTTTAAAATGCCAATGAAAAGAAAACAGAGAAGCCAGTCTACAGTTTTTCTCTCCTGATGGACAATACTAAAGCCAGTTACACCTCTGTCCAAAAACCTAGACTTGCCAGCAAAGCATCACACATTTATAAACTGGAAATATTTTTCACCATATTTGAAACTTCTAGTGAAAGACATAATGAATAGCACTGTGACAGGAGAAAGGACACACTGTCTCTTGGCAGGAATCTGGGCAATTTTAGATAAAATTTGTTTAAGGAGGAGAGCTGGAAGAAATATCTCAGTCTATTCAAGAAAATGGTGCTTTTACATTTTTGCACTTGACATACAACATCATAGCACTTGACTTTTCTTCCTTCGGTCTATTATGTGACATAAGATCAGCATTAAAAAGTAGATTGTATCTGAAAAAAAACCACCCTATGTCATCTAGGAGCAATGCTTGCAGGACATTAAAATTGTCATGAGTGTTCCTGCAAGAGCTCTGAAGAGTCAGAAGCAGTGCCTGAGACATTTTCACATCCACTTAATGCTGAGTATGTACACTCCTGGTGACCCTGCATACAAATTTGTAGCAAACTGATTAACAGCTCAGCATGGTTCAAGCCCACAATCTCTTCCAGAAGATGAAGTTCAGCTCTAGACAGTGATTTTTATTATCATCCCTACTATTTCACAGCCAACAGACAAAGGCAGCTATATTGCTGTTTTGTACCAACTACTGCCTTCGTAGCCAGTTGCACTAGGGCAAACACAAAATATTCCATTACCATTTTCAGAAATACTACTCATTAGCTGTGTTTTAAATTAGAGTAGCAGCTAGACCTTCTTTTTTCATATGAAACTACATTTGTGGCCTTTTCCTAACCAGGAGATATTTGATGTGAAATGCATACTGAATAGCTCAAAAAAATCTCTTTTGTCCCCTTGCTATTCATAAGACAAACTATTCATTCATCCCACTCAAAATATCACTACCTCTGTAAAGCTCATACGTAACCATTTCTATTTAGCATCTGTGCTGGTACATAGAGATAACGTCTGTGTGGTTAGGGGAGGTGTATCTGCACATACCTTCTGTCTGTAGGATACAGCTCCACGGTAATGACATCTAGAGAGTTCCATGCTGAGATGGTGAGGCCGTTGTAGAGGCACAGCATACCAATCATCATGGATTCACTGGTCCCAAACCACAGGAAAAAACAGCTGATGCCAGAGAGAACCATGGAGCCACCTAGGTAAGAGACAGGTGAAATGAACATGAAGTGGAACTGTATTTAAAGAATGATCTTTGTTTATTTGTCTAATGTTTCTATACACACAGTGTAGCTAAATAACCGACCCATATATTTGAGTTAAAAACTAAAGTGACCTACTCTGCTGGTGAGATCAGTCAGGTAAACAAATGTTGTAAGGGATTCATAGAAAGAAAAACACATAACTCCTTAAATCTTCAGATTTATCATAAAGTATTAATCTGGGACCCTCTCTGAACTCCAGAAGCAAGATGCCTGGGGAAAACTACCCCCATTCTTCCTTGTTCATCATATTCTGCAATTGCATGAAACTCATTTATATATTCTAGCAATAAAAACACCGAGTGGGAATTGCATTTGTATAGATATATTCTCCGAGAAAATGAACACAATGAACTACTACATAGTTATTTAAGGAAACTGAAAACAGATTTGTCATTGCAGGTAAGCCACAGGAGATCTCTTTCAAGTATCTTATGTAGCAAAATAGATAACAGGCAAAGGACTGCTGAGTCTTCTGAAGAGCTGCTCCATTAACTGAGGGTTACCTGTGCACATCTCTCTTTCCTTTCAGCTGGAGCAAAGACAAGCCAATGGCCAGTACTCTCCAAAATCTAATCCCAAATGCCTAAATAAGGGCCTTGTAATATCAGACTGGAAGAGCAACGACTGATAATGTGGCATAGCAGAACTGGTTACAGAACCCTTTGTTCCTAGAGTTTCTAAATTGTGGGCTTTTTAAAATGGCACTTGTGATGCCGCAAAAATTAAGTATTTGCAGAAGGAACATTTTGTATCTCCCTGAATCAAATTCTTTAAAAAGTGAACATGCTACTTTATCAGGAGAGCTTTAGTCCCTATTGGGTCCATTTAGTCCCTAGTGTTGGCCCCTGTTTTAAAGCGAAGCCCCTACCTAGCATCGTTAACCGTCCAATTCTATCCATCAGAAGAGCAGACACAATATTCCCTGGTAACACTGCCAAAGTTCCCAGGAAATTAACAAAGTAAATCCAGTAGGCACTGTAGTCGTCATCGAAAGAAATCTGGCATCCTGTTCTGATGTGGAAAAATGTGCAATTTATCAATTCGCTGTCAACAAATTTATATTGCTCGAGATCTGTGGAAAGAAGAAAAAGAAAGAGTTCAGCTAACAGCCCACTCCATGTGCGGCTTTTGATTAAAAACATTTCAAGTTTAGGCAACTTTAATAACTTGGAGCTTTCACTACTTTGTAAAATGGGACTAGTTATTGCTGTTAATTTTGATACCCTTTTATCTTAATAGAAAAATATGCAAAGCTCATGAAAAAGAACAACTAAGGCCTGGAATTAGGCAAGTTCTATTACTGTATTTCAGCTCTGCTTGGACTGCATTTGGTTAAGGCCTTTCAGCACCAGCTGGCCTTCCATAAAAAGCACTGGGTATCTGCAAGTTTCTACAACTTGGTCTTAGTATCAGATGTTCTATTTCCACACCAGACAGCCTTTCAGATGAGTCTGGTGATCATGCTCAGTTTGGTTTAACTTCCTTTGAAATGAAACGTTCCTAAAGAATTCAGATTAAACTAATTTTTATTTCTGAGAAGGCCTTGTGGTCTCCAGCTCGAACACAGATAAGGTACTACACACAACCCATTCAGGCCTTTCTTCTTCCAATAACATTTTGGAGATCCCGCCCTATACTTCCACTTTCTTTCTGTTCCTCCTGTCAGCCTTATAAACCTGAATCAAGAATACCTTCCTTCCACACAAAGAAAGTTGGGCATTCCTTGCTCCAAAACCTAACTGTACTACTATTACTGATTGCTGGAGTTATGGGAAAGGAGTAAGAAGTGCCCCGTCTTTCCAGGAAGCGCCCTATCTTTCCAACAAGCTTAGTTGGCCATGTTCTACTTTCAGTTACGTTTTATTAAAAGAGAAATGAAAAAAAAAAAGAGAACTTTTTTAAACATGTGAAAATACGCATTCCTATTTTTGTTACACCACTTAGGAGAGTGGGAAGGATTACAGATTAGGTGGTTTGAATCCTGAACTCTGATTCCCATGCCACAGCAAACACAATGAACAAAGTATTTCAACAGTCCCATTTAGTCTACATAAAAATATGCTACCTAAAGCTACCTGTAAAGCAGTAAATGTATTTTCTTGTCTCTAGACTGAATCTCTTTAGAGATGTTTAAAATCAAAGAGATATTTATTATCTGAGTCAATATTAGGCCTGTCCTATCTCTAGCGTGGGTGTAATCCTTTCACTTTTCTTTTATAACATTACAGATGCTTGTAGCTTTTTATAGCTTTTTATTCCCTCCAAGAGGACTTCTTGTATGCCTTATTAAAAATCCAGAATTTATAAACAAAATATGAGAACACACAGCTGAACAATGTATGTTCAGGATTTTTTTCTTGTAATACCTGTGTTGTAGAAGGTGGTATTCACAAAAGTACAGTTCCTGAAGTATGTGTTCAGTGAAGTAATGTCTTCAAACACACAGTTCTTAAAAAGTGAATCTTCGAAGGTTACTGATTTAAACTTCATCATAATGAACCTGCCCAATACAATTAATTTCTGTCAGTCTACCTTCATAGGTTAGGAAGAGCAACAGGTCAAGCTGATGAAGCTGTACAGGTCTGAAAAATCTCAACCCCAGTAATAATGTTTCCTTAAAGGCATTCTGGAGACGTAATTAATGATTAGCTGATTCTAAAATACTATTGATCAGAAAAAGCATTAATAAGACAAATAGCTCCCCATAGCTACCAGCCACAACTGCTAATACAATTTACTTGATAATGTTTCTGTTATTACTTGTCCTTAACCATCAACCAAAACCAATGTCATGACATTCATGGAATAGCCTTGTAAAATTACTACGAGTTGTAATTTGACATTACGGTTGGACATTGGGGGATTACGCTCCATAAACTCAGTCTCTTGAAACAAACACCTGCTAGTACCAACAAGCCGGAAAGAAAGAATTTTTTAAGAACCTTCATTTCTCCAGATCAACACACCAGGCACTGTGTCAGGCTCACATGCAAAACGTACTGGTCTAAGTGTTAAAAAATGGTTTTGCGATATGGTTTAACATGAACACAATTACAATGCCAGTTATACAGCTAGATATCTAACTGGAGGTATTTGTTTGTTACTCCTGTGTCTCTGGATGCAATTGTAATTACTGTTTATATAAAACAGGCATAAACAAACTGTCAGTAGCTTTTCTTATTTGTGAACATTCTCCTTCCTACTGACTCTCATTTAACTCCTAGGTCTTTAATCATGACTGTCATTAAAGTCGTTCATAGAAAAACTCAGTGACGAAGTGTATTACTAGCAGTAACTTTCTACCTCAATCTTACTAGACTAAAACACTGCTGTAAGCCTTTTTTAGTATGATTCTACCAAATAACACCATTATGCTAACAAAAAAAAATTAAAGAAGTAGAAATGTATCATTATTTTTGGGATGTCCTTTATTTCACATGAAGGCATGGAAAAAGTTACAGCTAAAAAAGGGCAGTTTTGCTGGCAGATTTCACCTGAACTGGTAAGAGTTTGAAAAGCAGTACTTTAATTGTTATATGGCAGTAAAAACTGTTAAAATGGCAAAGCCTTCCAAACAAAGACCTGGCTCTGCTCTGATTAAACCTAGTGTGACTAGCTAAGTATTTTTCTTACTACAAGACTAATAGTAGGAATAGGAACACACAAAATTTGCCACATATGAAACAGTAGGAACTAAACTCTCTCACCAGCAAGGTTGTTGGAAGCACATCTTTATGAGAAAGGAGAGCAAAACCTAATTGTTTTCATCACAGGAAAAGACTGACTAGCTAATGAATTCTCTTTGTGTATTGGTCAGAAGAATGGTGTTTTCAGCCCATTAGTTTCAGTTACTATATCATTTCTTATTTGTGACAGACTGATTAAAATCAGTCTGGCATTCAGTGTCAACTCATTATCATTTTTCAAGTAGCACCTTCCATTTTAAAATGTAGCCTAGTTCTAGAGGAGAACAAAGAAAATGTAGCAATTTGATTAGTCAGTTGGAACAGACTACATGTCCTACATTCTTCTGATGCACTTTTTACCTTTGGACAGGAAATATGTTGTGGCTATATTAAAATTGGTGTTGCAATGATTTGAATTAAAACCCAACAGAAATGTAATGAAGTAAAAAGTCAAGTACTGATGGATCTTCTAGTCAAGCAAGAACATGAAGGAAACACTGAAATTGAGGGTAAGTGGCATATTGAAATATTTGTGGAGGAAGAATATCAAATGAGTTCAAACTTCTGTGGAAAATGTTTTGTGAATCTCAAATAACTGTCAGAGACCTATTAAACTCACACATTTGAAAGAGTAAATCAGTGTTTTAGAGTAGATTACTGTTAGATTTAGTGTTTTACAAGAATCTTCAGTTCAAATTGATAAGATCTCGATTGTCAGAGTGCTGTCAGTAGCTGACAGTAAATAGTTCTTTTCTTTTCAGAGAACATCTACCTCCTGCAAAACTATGGCTAATTTAAAAAAGAGATAACTGCTATTTTTTTGTCTGCAATGCATAAACCTTTAACTGTGTCAAAACTCAATTTCTTATAAAAATAATTTTAAAAGCCCCATATTACTAAAATAATTAATTTTATTCACTTAGATATATATTTTCCTATGGAAATAATAACTACTTAGCACCATGACTTCCAGGAGACCATTCACATGGTTGTTCTGTATATTTCTTAACAGAAACCAGATACCTAAAACAGCTGTGTTTAATTTTCCACTAAGTTATCTAGTTATCTGTAAAGTCCAGATAGAGCCTTAATATATTTGGATTCAGTTAAAAAACACAAAAGGAATAGCCAACGTGTTGTTTCACATTTCAGAGCTGTTCATACTTTTTATTGATTTACAGTAACATTTAGCTTTTATTTTTCTGCGACAAGATCCTAACCTCTCTATGTTCAGCGTTTTCACAGAAGCGTCTTTCATTGATATAGGAAAAGAACTGGCAACAGAGATGAAAGTATGTCCTTCCCCAGTCCCCTACAATATGCTGCATGTGTTGTGTCTGAAAAACTTTGAATCCCACTGTGAAAGGAAGTATTGTTAACTTAGGCTTTTTGGTTTGTTTTCCAGGATGACAAGGAAGCTGGCTTTGCATCCTCACAAAGGAACCACCAGGGCACGTACAGGTCCACTTCTCCCCATGGTCCGTGCATTATAAGAAATCAAGAACAGAAGTAAATTTTCATTAAAAACCAACAAACCTATCTATCATTAGCTAATGGAGAAAAACATTAGATTATTAAGACATGTTTTAAAACATGCATTTGTTTATTCCACCCAAGTCGGGGTATTAGAAAATCTCTAAACCTGTCATTGATGTATTCTCCATTGCTGTGAATCTGATTTTCCAGTGTGAAGTTGAAGACGAAATGGGAAACCTCCTCATTGCGGAAATGTTTCACTCGGGACGCATACTCATCTGACTGCAGATGTTTAATGACGTCGGGAAACCAGACAGATAAGCCGTAGTAGCTGTGAAGAACAGAAAAAGCTCAGCCACCAATCTCACTTGTTCGGAAATCCATGAGAGGTGAGGACGAGCAGCTCCCCCAGCTGCTTGTGTGATGGAGCAGTTACCCCATCATAATAAAATCCTCCATAAAATAAAAATATCGAAAGAAGCTGACATCAGAAGATGCCAGTTTTCTGAAGCAGATATTATTGATGAGTCAGGCTTGCAACCAAGAACAGACTAACTGGTAAATATAATGTTTTGTGGAAAGATACAGAATAAAACATTTCTGAACAAAAAGTATAACCATAGAGACAGAAGTTTGCATGCAGACAATTCTTCTGTCTGTCAAGTCTATCAAAAATCATTTAAGATCTCAGCCACTCTTACCCAAAAGACAGGGTGAACCATACAGCCGTAAGTTTGATTGTATTATCCTTCACCGGGTAGTTGAAGCATCTCATAAATGTCAACCAAATCTGTAAATCATTAGGAAATACATTTCTTATAAATTGGATTTTGAACAATTTTGTTAAATTATAGAAGCTTTTTGATCCTGATTTGCTTCCTTCTTCAGAGCATCAGAGAGAGCAAATCAAGTCTTTGATACTAACCATATCTGCATTTCTCCTAGAAGTACATTAATCTCTAGCTATTGCCAGGTTGTGCATGTTCTGTGACTTTTCTGCTTCTTTTCATAGAGTAATAGAATAGTAATAGAAATTTCATAGAGAAATAGAAGCGAACTTTAGAGATCATCTAGTCCAATCCCCCGTGATGGGCAGGTACATCTTTCACTTGATCAGGTTGCTCAAAGTCCCATCCAATCTGACGTTGAAAGCTTCCAGAGATGGGACATCCACAACTTCCCTTGGCAACATCTCCAGTGTCTCACCACCCTCAGTGGTGAGATTTAGATTTTTAGAAAAAAAGATTTTTCTAATGTCCAGTCTAAATCTATCCTCTTTCAGTTTAAAACTGTTACCTCCTGTCACTACAGCCCTTGGTAAAAAGTCTCCCTCCAGCTTTCTTATAAACCCCCTGTAAGTATTTAAAGGCTGCAATAAGGTCTCCCTGAAAACTTCTCTTCTCCAGACTGAACATCCCCAACTCTCTCAGCCTGTTCTCATAGGAGAGGTGCTCCAGCCCTCTGACCATTTCTGCGACCCTCCTCTGGACTTGGTCCAACAGCTCCATGTGTTTCCTGCACTGAGGGCTCCAGAGATGGACATAGTACTCCAGGTGGGGTCTCACCAGAGCAGAGTAGATGGGCAGAATCACCTCCTTCGACCTGCTGGCCACGCTTCTTTTGATGCAGCCAAAGATATGATTGGCTTTCTGTGCTGCAAGGACACGTTACCGGCTCATACCAAACTTTTTATACACCAGTGTGGACTGTGTCCATTAATTCATCATTGCTCTGATCACCTCAAACTTTGCTAACCTCTAAGCAGCTTAATTTCATTGCCTCAAATAAACCAGAGGTCTTGACAGAAAGGTTTGTTCTCACTTCTCAGTACTACAATGCTTTAATATTAGACAAACTATATCACATAATTCAACAGGGGTGCACTCAGAGCTTGATTTGTCATAACCTACCACAGCTAGAAGCTGGTACTTTAAGATGAGGAAAAGCTGGGACTACCCTTAGGTCAGAGATGCTACAGTATAAGTGACTGAGAATGGTGTTCTCCTTTCTCTCTTATCTCAAGATGATTTGCTCCTTTTGAAGAGAAGAGACAGTCTGTCCTAGGAGGTTTCAGCACACATCATGCAACAAGGAAGGTGCTCTGACCCAGAGACTAGTCCAGTGAGATAGCAAGGATGTGAGACAACCAAGCTCCTTTAAAAATGGCTTAGTAACAAGGTCAAAACATAATATTGCAATATTCAACTAAACCATTTTGGGACAAGTAACTATGGAAGCAGACACTTTCTGAATTGTTATTTTTTTCTCATAGGGAAAATGCTTTTTTTCCAAGCAAAGCAAATTTGTGACAAACTTTGGTTTACAACACTTCATTATTGCTCTGGAGAGCTTTAAGATACCAGATTTTTAACAGCTGTGAAAAGCTATTTTTGACATTTAATTTTTTTTTTTTTTTTATTTTAATTAATGAGATTTTTCTCAATTTTCATTGGGAGGTTCAATGATTTTAGTTTTGCAAAAAAGCAAAAAAGATACAGAGCACAGACCCAGTGAGCTTGTACTAAATTCTCTGAAATAGCTCTAATGTGTTTTTCTGGTAAAATACTTGATGTGCTTAAAAATACATGCAGATACGAGGCCTTATAAAGGTTTTACTGACATTCATTTACAGAATTTATTCACACCTTTATCATTTGGAAGTAATGAGGCTGCCTCAAGTTCCTGCTGATAATGTTTCATCTCATCATGTGTCACCTCTTTCCATAGGTATATATTGATATGCATTCCCAGTGCATATTATATTGTGGTGCTTGGGAATATGGCTATGAAACTATAAGCCACCACTTGTGTGGCATGCACCAATGCAGCGTTTTCCTCCTCAGAAGTTGGGACCAACCTCTGTGATTCACCTTCTGGGTCAGGAAATCAGAACCTTACGCTGGTTCCTGAATCTCCCAGTTGCATGGAAAATGTAGCATTGCAGCTATCACCAGCACGAGCTCAATCAATCCATCCTGTTTCTGAAGGCTAATTGAAAAGAAGAAAGGTAATTACAGAATGAACAGAGGTGCCATTACTTACACCGTATAGCTCTGTACGAATTCTAACAAAACACCTCCTGTACCAAGTTCCTGTATCGCTCTCTATTTCTATGAGTTCATCGATCTGCTTTGGAGTTTTGATTCTGTTAACCTAGAAATAAAAACAGAACAGCAAATATTTGCATTTTCTTGAATCATTAACTGCCTGCCGAGGAGTATTGGAAGGTTTTAATAAATTCCATAAACTAAAAATGAGCAGATATTAAACCTGTGTCTACAGTAGAAATGCTTTAGAAATATAAAGGAGTAGAAGCACACTATAATGCCAAACTTCATTATGGATGCAACTGTATTGGAAAAGCTCTACTTTCAAAGCATGCAGGAAATCCATTTCCTCTCACTGAAACAAGCTGTTACTGTCAGGTTCTGCTAGTGTGTTGCTGTACATACCTAGTGCCACAAAGGATAAAACATTATTTAAACCCTCATTTAACCATGTCCAGAGTTTGCTATCAAGTTGTTTCTGACTTGCTATCACAACATTGTTGAAAGTCTTTTGATTAAAGATACAGTAATGAAAATAGAAGTATTTGAAATGTCAAGAACTAATAGTTGAATAATATTTTTCTTTTTTCTTATTTCCTGTAGTGTTAGACAGGGAACTCTCTTTGTCTTTTGAATGTTGACTTTAGCTATCCTTTTTAATGAAGAGAGAAAAAGTTAGGTGAAATGATCTGGAACCATGCATGTTATTGCTGTTACGAGCAGTCATCTACTTCATCTAAACTGAAACGAGCTAAACAGACATCAGGAAAAAATACAGAATTACCAGTCACAGAGAATGTGATGTCGCCTACAATGCTCATTTTCACTTGCACTCTCCTGCGTAGCAGAACAAAAATGTGTTATATGGTCTTTCCAGACACACGACCTGACAAACTTATACCATTGCATGGTTTTAGTTTTGGCTTCCGCTCTGGTCCCAGGTTCATAGCAATATCACAAAAGGCTGTGTATTTATCCACAGTTTATTTATAAAGAAGGCAAATAGAGAATGGAAGGAAAGAAAAAAAAAATAAAATGGAGAAAGGAACTGACATACAAGGAGACAGAGAGAGAGATAGAGCAAGAGACTGAGTCTTCAGTATTTAGCTGCAGTTTCTGAAGCTAGCAATAGCTTGTGTTTCTTCCTAACAGAATGAGGACACCACCACCCACGGATGTATCATAGTGGATTAGAGGACATCAGGGAATAGCTGTATTGATGATAAAGCCCTAGTTTTCAGCCTACTGCTTTTACAGATGTACACTGTTTAAGATGCAGCAGCAGCCTCATCCCATGAACAAGAACAAACAAAAGCCCACTAAGCAGTTTTAGCTATAACCACATTCATTTCTGAAATATTGCAGCTCACTGTCTTGCTAAACTATGACTATATCAAAAGCCTGTACCCTTCATGTCTTGGTTTTTCCAATAGCAATAATCCTGTCTGCATCATTCCACTGATTTTAAGCTTTTCTTAAACTGCTTTCATGAAACATGTAATACAAAAGACTGAGTTGAGTCCTCCAAGATAATTTAAAACCTCATACATACAGGCATCCTCACATGCCACACCCCCTGGCAGAAAGGGCATGCTTTTTGAACCATGCTGTATAAACCAGTACCACTCTTGAAGGCTCAGAGGCAGCCTTTTCACCGTCTGGGCCACCTGACTCGTTTGGGGCTGTGGAGGTTGGGGGAAACATGTATATATCCTAGGACCACTGCATGTGACTGGGGACAAAAAGCCCCTGGCCTTGATGGTTCTTTAACATAAGAAAAGTACTATTGAATCAGGACAAAGGTCCATCTGGACCATGCAAATGCAACTGTCAGTATATGAAGAATGAAAGAAAAAACAATAAAGAATACCAATTTTAATGAAAATGGAACTTCTGTTTAAAAGCAGTGGCTAGAAATATGCAATGTTTGAAATGTTGCAAAATCAAGACATGCTGCAAAGGAAACTGCAAAACAAAAAAGATTATTTCATACAGGGCAATGAAAGAGTAGAGACAATTTTTGTTTTAAGGATACAAAGACTTTTTTTACATCAACATTTAAATGAACAGATCTAATGAATGTATATTTTCAGGACCCAGGAAGGTAATTAGTCATGTACATAAGCATTTAACTTGGGTAGTCCCATAATAGAAGATACTATCAACTTACTGCCATTTCTGTTAGTGTCACTGCTCCCAGGAGAGATTTTCAAAATTATTAAGAGCTACCACCTCCACAGTCAGTAAATAGAATACATCCACTTTGGAGTTTCTAACTCTAAAACAACTGTTCCTCAATTGATGCCTTCTCTGTTCTAAAAGTCTGAAGATAAAATCCTCAATATGAGTAACAAGAATAAACATGACTTGTGAAAAAAGCTTCTAGGAAAAGATGACATCAATATAATTAGGAAAACATAAAAAAGGAAAGCACACTAAAACTATAGCACTAATGGAGAAAAAGTTACATCAGCTGTCGAGTTAGAAAACATGCTATCAAAGTATGTCTGGTGTAACTAGTGACACAAAGTAGAGGAAAACTATAACACCTAAGTCATAGAATAGATGAAGCAACGGGGTTAAGGAGAGCTATGTGAATAAATTACCGAGACAAAATGTCACAACATCCAGGACTAACTTATATAAAAAAAGAAAAAAAAAGAGAGAGAGACTAAAAGGATGTCCCAAAATAATTATTCATAAATTCTTTGCTTTCTGGGTTTTATAAGATTAAGTGCTGATAATGGCCAATGAGGAGACATTGATGCATTTTCTAATCATATTAATGCAAGCTAAAAACAGGGACTTCTCTACATGTGTAACCCTGACATACAGTACAGTATTTCTAATCCTTTACCTCCTTGATATCTGGAGTTGAGTTTTCCCAGTGTTCATGGCAGAAACTGTCGAAATTCCCAAGAAAATGGTGGTTTTTCCTTATTCACGCCTTATGAATTAGCTGACCAATTGACAAAATTGGCTATCAATAAAGTGCTGAGTTCAACATGGTGCCGTGTCACATTTTAACAACCGTAGAGAAAAATACTCATTAGATCAAAAGAATTGGAAACAACAAGCATGTGCTTTGTTTTCTTCTCCATGGCTGCTTTAGGATGTGATTATGATTACGTCAAACTGATGTGAGACTGTGGCTGATCCTTCCTCCCACTTTTTGTGTCAGCACATTTCTGTTATCTTCCTCATGCCTAAACCAACACCATAGGGGGACAGAGTCTGCGCTATGAGTGACTGTGCATCAGTCAATGAATATCAATGCTGGCAGAAGAAAAACAAACAGCGACCAGGAGCAGGAATACTCTGCCTGAAAGCAGCTCAGATCAGCAAGAGCCAATTGTGAAATTACACCCTGGCTGTATGGTGTTAGGCAAATCCCTTTACTCGTAAATGAAATCAGAAAATAAAATATTAAGCTAGATGGCATTAGGGGTAGGTCACCGGTGTATCAATAAATGTGCATTTAATATGATACATGTGCTAACCAGCCTTCTTTCAGGCTAAATATAGAAGCTCTTGAGCTTCTTTTTGGAAAAAAAAAATTAAATGGAGGCAACGGAAACTACATCCAAGGCAATAAACTGCAAGTCTCAGTGGAATAAATTTATATGGTCAGATGGTCATTCCTCAAGACTGCCTGCAAATGCAGAACCTTTAAGAGGATTTCTTAATTGAGTTATGTGCATTAAAGTAAGAAGAAAGCCCCTGGAAGAGGAAAAACATCCCACATATGGCTCTGAGAGGGAGCAAAGTGCCAGCACTCCCACAGCACAGCACAAGCTGGAAAGGCAGTCTGGATTTCAAAGCAAGAAAATTCCTTCTGCTGTTTGGTCCTACTGTATCCAGGAAGAAAAAATTGTTGTGTATATTCCTCATAAATAAGGAAGATGCCATAAAAAAGTCCCACATCTGAAATGCCCATTTCTCCTCCAATTAGAAACAACCCATCAATACTTAGAATACAGCCTTGTCATTAGACCTGCAAGTAAACAAGATGCAGTTGAGCTTCCAAGACATTTTGAGAAAACTAAATGTCTGAAATTGCTATTTCACAGAAGTGAAAATTAATTAAAAAATATATTCTTTTAACTGATAAAAATGAAAAATAGTAATTTCAAAAGCTTTAAAGACAAAACAGCCAACTAATTTGGACTTCTATGTTCCTACTGTCATTATTAAGGCTGAAGTAAACTTAATAAATAAAAATAGGTTAATAAAAAAAATAGATGGAGTCCATTAAGTATCTTGGTACACCCAAGAAAATGAACACACTGTGGGTTCATATGCTCAAGAACATGCCAGCCAAAGGTTGGTATCTTAAAATCTGTTGTATACCTAACAATTGCAGTAGGAAATAGGTACTTATATTTAGGTATTTAGAGTGCTAATGAGTGGCTTTGTCATGCAGAGTATTAATATTGATTGCTTAAGACCTCCAGACCTTGCCAGTCAGCAAGCCCGTTGATGTGCTAAGCGATTAGCTTTAAAACCAATACTTACTGTGAAGACTTTCTCAGGCTGACCACGAGCTCGCATGTTTGTGTCATGAATTTGCTTGAGTATCATCCAAGCTTCATCATGTTTTCCAATCTAAACATTTGATCAAAACATTTAGACAAAACATAGGTAGAGATTAAGATAATCACTACAGTAACTGACCAGTCTTAATGGCTGTTATATAGAGGTCATGATGTTAACACAGAAATAATTTTGACTGGAATCTAAAAACTATTTGGAAAATTATACCTCCAGCAGGAACCGTGGGCTTTCTGGCATAAAGGTGAGGGCTACCACGGAAGACACACAGGGCAGTGCACAGACGATCACAAATACTCGCCAGCTGTGGAACTGGTAGGCAGATCCCATGCTGAAACTCCATCCTACGAAAGCAGAAATTCATAAAATGTAGAGAAATAAGGAGCATTGCACATGGGAGTCTGAAGCTTCTTGGAGGTGCAAAATGATGCTTGTATTTAAATGAAGCCTCATTGATCTCTTCTGTTTCCACAGACATCAATGATTTCACAAATAATCTTACACTATGAATTTCAGCTGCTTCTGTGTGACTAGTCATGCTGGAAAATGGCCATGTCATGCAGGGTGGGAGACGTCCTTACACAGGGATGAAAAAGCCTAATTCAAGTCCCTTAGCAAAATCTGTGTGAAGGTAGTTACGTGAACGAAACAGGGACACCATCACCATAGATAAAAATACATATCCAAAGAAACAGTTTTCTATGAAAACTGGGAGAAGGGAGAATTAAAAATATACACTCAGATTATGTATTTTTGGAATGTTACAGCCTTCTTTATTGTTATTAACTTTTTCTACAAAGAGTTAATTTCAATAGTTTTAATAAGAGTCTCCTAATCTAATACAGTGCAACACATAAAGCATTTACAGTGCCTAACTTCTCTTTCCATCTTGTTCCAGAGCACTATACCACTCCTTAAATTCCGTTAAAAGTTAGCTGATACTCATCCCCCCTGCCCCATAATTAGACTTACAGGACAAAATAGTGAGTGTTCAAACTTCTATTAGAGATAGCAACCCTAACACTGAAGTAGAGAGAGAATTTGTGATTGTATAAAGAGAATAAGAAAAAGAACAACAGGAAAACAACTCCTTATCTGAAAAATCGATCCTGAGTACATCTGAGTGCTGACTAATAACATGCTGTAGAAGCCATTCTTAAAATATACTGAGAAGAAAACAAAAGGAAATACTAGAAAAATGGTATGTGAAACTGCAGGGCTGGCAGTTCAGCTTTTTAATAAAATATCTGATTGTTTGGTATGTTATGACTGGACTATTGAAATGCTATAATTGTAAGAAACCTAAGAATTTCTCTTAAGAATGAGGAAAATATTATTTGGGTAACTACCGGGCCTTTTAGTCTGGCTTCAATACAGCAGAAATTTTCAAGTAAAATTTTCAAGGATAACATCAAATGATGAATGGGAGATAAGAATAATGATAAAGAACAGAAGAGGTTACAGGAAGAAAATGGAATCCTGGCTAATGAAAGAGCTGACGCAAGATTAATCTGATATATTTCTTTGCTAACTGATTTTTCTAGCCAAAAGCAATTGTTTATTAAATCTGTCTGGATGTCAGTAAACAACTGGTAGAGCATGGTACCAAATGGTCTATTAAATACTTCTTCAAATGAGGTATTTATCTGTTACATGTATAGCATATTTTGGTTTGTAAAGATCTCATGCTGTGGATCATAAATACATTCTTGGAGAAAAAATCCCCTTTCATATTACGGTACTTACCTGCGGCCGTGTGAAAAATACAGTCAACCCATGATTTATTTTTGCCCTTTATCAACAGCTTGGTGAAACCTTTTGATCTGCAGGCTTGGGAGCCTGTTTTTTCTGGTCTCCTACAAACTTTCTCTGTTTCTGAAATGACACCAGCTTGTTCTACAGCCTTATTTAGCCCTGCCATCTTTACCCCAGGACAGTGTTTGCACTGGTCTTGGAATTTTACTTTTTTTTAAGTAAACATACCTTCCCCTTCCAAAGTTCCCTCCAATAAAAAGAGGTTGTCTTAAATTTAATGTTAAATTTTATTCCAAAATAGAACTTGCAATGAAAATTTAAGATTAAAAAATACAAACAAAAGAAAGGACGTAAAAATGTATTAAAGTTTCCTTTTTACTGATTTTTGGAAAATGTCAACTTTCAATCTTATGGAATTTCAAATCTTAAATAATACGAGCATACTTTACATCTCAGTTGGGAAGGGAAGGAAATAAAGAAGGAAAGGTTTACAGTGAGTTAATGAGGCAATTAGAAACCATACCCGTGTTTTGGGTGTTGTGTTCACATTAGAATCATTTTCCATTACATATTTTAAAATATAGTACAACATCATCTGATACAGAAGTCTCAAAACTATATCCTTTTGGTTAAGTTATTTTTTGGTCAGAGCAGTGAGCTGACCTGACTTGCTGGGCAGCCGTGCAACCGCTAGTGCCATGGAGAAGGCGGCACAGGATGGGGCTTTTCATCTTTCAGAACAGTGTGGAGGACGTACTGGCTCTAGTCATTAGAAACTGTCCCAGAAATGCGCAGAGCCACTGGCATGTTTAGACAATTCGCCTTTCACTGCTGTGGTTTGTGTTTTATGAGATTGAGCTGCACAAAGGGCACTTCTGTGGTAAATGAAATCAACTTGGCTTTGTACCCGTTATAAAACAACAGCAACATCTTGTGCTCTGTAGCCAGTCCTGGAAAATGCTGGTGATAATTTATTTTGAGTTATCATTTATTAATATAAGTGAACCATACTACACGTAATTAAAAGCAATGAGGGCACCATTCATCCTGCTGTCATCCTGGCAACCTACAAAACATAGGTTTTACTTCTCAAAATATGTGAGGACTTTGTCCAGTGAACTGTTCATTTCCTTTTTTATTGCTCTTATTCCACCTTTTTCTCTATGTAGTGTATTAGGTGCTGCGATTTATCTTGTAATTTAACGTATCTGCTGAATTAATGATAATAGTGAATGTCAGGATTATAAGAAGCAAATGGTACAAAAAAAGCCAGCTGCAATACATCTTTCTTGAGACTGCTCTCCTGTCTATTTCAGCACCAGCATTAGATCAGCAAAACAAACATGTATTTTAAATGCAGAGCAAGTTTAGATTTATTCTTACATTAAACACATCCCATTTTCCTCGGTCATGAGCTAATCTGGAAAATGGAGCCAGTAGAGTAGCTCTGAATTTGGCTCACTAAGTGACTTTCATTCCTATTGTACGTGAGTCTTGAAACCAAATGGAAATGTGTTCTTGGCTATAACTCAATTTGCTTCTCCTGTCCCTGATTTATGACACAATAGCAAAGACAGAGCAGCTCTACAAGGTTGTGTTCAGAGCACTGCACAGCAACCTAGAGCTAAACTTCACCAATGCTCCCTGGCTATGCTGTATTCAAGAGTCATTAATCTTGAAAACAGTGGCAAGTCCCCATGTTTCATGAATTGCAAAACACTTGGCCCAAATGCATCTCGGGAATGATGTGCTGTAGAGCAACGTAAAACTTGCAATGACTGAATCTGAAGCTGCTGCAGCAACCTTTGTGCTGAATACCACTCTCCCACTTTACTGACTGCTGGAAAAGGCCAAGTGAATCACAGACATGGCAATTACTGATTACAGACACACAGCAGCATGCAGCAGAGCAAAACCAACATGTACAAGATGTTAATCTATATCTAATCACCAATTTATATATTGAATTCAACGTCAACAAAATCTACCCTCCCAACACAGTATTTCATCTGCTCCATGATATTAATAAATTAAAAGGATATCATACACATGTTCTTGTTCCAAAGGAGAGAAAAGGGCATTC